GTAGGTGTCGAGATGATAAATCTGTACAGGCGAAAGCATAGACACACACAGACAACCTCTCGACAATATGCATTTTTGCGTTGCATATTTGCAAAAAAAAAAAAAAAAACGCATAACAGACCCAAAAACCCCAGCAATTTTAGTGGCAAGTGACAAAAATCTACGAGGAATTGTACAAAAAACGCATCTTTATGTTATTAACCAAAAAATTTCAAGCCAAGCTCTTTTTGTGATGAAAAAGGCCAAGTTTTTGTGACGAAAAGGCTTAAAATATCCAAGAAATCTTTTGAAAAATCGGTTTTGTTGTAGGAAGATGCTCGCGAATCGGTCAACGATTATGAGGAGAAGCTGCTAGAAGAAAAGAAGACCGCCTTACTGCGCCGTCACAGGTTTCTGTCGTTGTTTCTAAGCAAAAATGCACTGTACTGGGACCATATCTGTGCACATGCCTGATTCTGTAGATGGTTTGATTCCAGAAATACCAAAATGGAAAATTAATTGGCTTTGTGCCTGGTTTCAGATTGCGTGCGCTGCCAGAATCGAATTTTTTTAGATCTCTTCTTTTCTCTCTCTCTCTCTCTCTCTCTCTCTCTCTCTCTTCATCCTGAACTATTTAATGGCCTTTGAACAGATATGTCACAACCCGATTCGCGATCTTGTATTTTACGCGTTTGTTCCCCTCACGGTCCTTTTTTTATACAAATTTCTTAAGAACGAGCTGCTCTTGTTAGTTTGATAAGAAGGCGAACGATGCATTTTTTACGAAGTCAGCAGTTGTAATAGAAACGTATATTAACAACGTTTGAAATAAGGAGAAGTTTTGTCGAATCTGTGTCAAAAATTTCCGGGGAGAATGCAAAATTAGCGATAATCTAAGCTACTTGTTGGTCAGAAAGTGTTCTTGGCATAATGCAGGACACATCCATCCACGGGATGGGGAGGAAGGGAGGGTCGCCCTTAAAACCCTATCGTTGAAATGCATAATTGCACTTGCCCTTCTGAGTGTGTGCCACTGTTAATGTTGTGTATACAGCTAGGGGATGAACTGTTCATACACTGTTCGGTCTGTGTGTTCAGCTAAGGGATGAGGCAACCAGACTGCGTCATAAAATGTCTTCAAACACATGACATTCAAGTGAAATTCTTCTATTCTTCTATTTTACATCTAAACTACTACTTTTCTTCGACTGACCTTTACCAGTCCGGGAGGCGCTTCATGTGCAGAGCACAGCTATGCGAAATCAGTTATCTTTGGTTACTTGCTTTTGCTGTCATCAAGGATTAGAGATGAATGGCTCCAGGTTCTAAAGTTTAAAAATAAACTTTCATTTTAAAAATATCCGGGAAAAAAAGGCAAAAACTTATTAATATGACGAAATTTTTTTTAAAAAAAAAGGCAAAAGTTCTCATAAATTACTCGAAATCGCATTGTCAGAATTAGAAATAAGCGTTTGTCATAACGTTATTGAAAAAAAAGTGAGTTTTTCCTGGAACTC